ATTGACCTCACGAGGGCATTTCTTGCTTGGCTCTCTCTGTAATAGAACCTTCTTTAAATAGATAAGCAATCAATAAACTTTTTTACCGAAAGCATCCGCTGCCAGTGGTTGCAACCAGCCAACATTAGACTGTGCCTTTAGAGCATCCCCGTTGCTGCTGCAGTAATAACCTCCAGCAAAATCCACTTAAATGTCTGTGTGGTTCTTTTCCCCACCACCCCCTAGGACTGCTCTGCCCTCAATGCCACTGGACTGCACAGTTTGGCTTCCAGCAGTTGGTTTGAAGGTCACTGGGCCTGCTAGTAACTTGGAAATCTGTTCAATCCCCCCGCCACCATTCATGCCTCCCGGGGAAGCAGTGGTGCTTTCTTTTTTCTTTCCCACCCTCCAATTTGTTCTAAAAAGATAGGATGCCACAGGCACTTCATTGAGGAAAAGGCAAAACAGCTTTTCTGTGAAAGAGCATTTTACATCTCTAATTTGGTTCCACTGAGGTGAGCATTGAAAAAGGGGCAACACTGTCAAAAGTCTCTTTCCACCTCCATCTTCTGCTTCATATATCTTCTCCCACTCATTCTGGAGCATTTCCCAGACACAAGAAAGCAGAGCCAGCACTTCTCGTTTTGGATTAGTTTTGTTGTTTTTATTTCTTTTTTTCTTTCAATTATTTGTTTTAAGCCTAGAGGCAGCAGTAAGAAGGAGAAATATCTTGCTCTGTGACCTCAGATTCTCACTTGGCTATTTCTTCTCTGGGCATCCATGGAGCTACTTCCATGACAACAAGCCACAGTCTGAGGAATTCACAGACTGTCATTTGGGGAATCTCTCTCAAGAGTCTTTTTTCCTCCCACTCTTCCAGGTATGAGGATGCATTCCAGGTCCATAGCTCTTCAACAGAGTTCAACCAGAAGCCACTAGAGCGGGAGAACGAGCGTCTCCAGGCCATGGTGAACTCCCTGAGGTCCCAAGTGAACCAGGAGAAGCAGCGGAAGGAGAGGGTGGAGCGGGAATACACCTCCGTCATCCAGGAGTACTCGGACCTCGAGCAGCGAGTGTGCGAGATGGAGAACTGCAAACTGCGCATCAAGGAACTGGAGGCAGAGCTCCTAGAGCTACAGCAGATGAAGCAAGTCAAGAAGTATCTGCTCAGCAGAGAAGACAACTTGTCCGAGGCCCTCCTCGAGCCGCTGAATAACGCCCCGGAAGCGGACTACATCGACCTCTCTGAGGAGGAGGGAGGGAAAAGCCACGGGCCGTCCATGACGCCGTCCCCCAACCACCCCGTCCGGAAAAGCTGCAGCGACACGGCCCTCAACGCCATCGTGACCAAGGACGCGGTGAGCCGGCACGAGGGCAATTACACGCTGCACGCCAACAACGTGCGCAAGCGGGGCATGTCCATCCTGAGGGAGGTGGACGAGCAGTATCACGCGCTGCTCGAGAAGTACGAAGAGCTCCTGAGCAAATGCCGGCAGCACAAGGACAGCGTGCGCCACACGGGGGTCCAAACGTCCCGCCCCATCTCTCGTGACAGCTCCTTCAGGGACTTCAGGGGAGAGGGACACGAGCTGGAAGAACGGAAAACCATGGAGAAGACCATCACCAAACATGTAGAAGCTGTGGACAAGCGGCTGGAGCAAAGTCAGCCTGAGTACAAAGCTCTTTTTAAGGAGATCTTCTCCCGCATCCAGAAAACGAAAGCGGACATCAATTCAACAAAGGTGAAAAACAAGAGCAGCAAATGAGCCCTGACTCTGCAGTTCCTACATACAATCTCAACAGCCAAGTCTTCTCTTTAGCCCCAGGAAACATTCTGTGGCCTCACTGCTTTGAAGGTTCAAGAGATCTCATGTTACATTCGTGTATGGGAAGGGGACTCTTAAAGCAAGAAAATGTCACGGAGACCCAAGTCACTTTTTTAAGCTAGGGCTCTGGGCAACTTGTTGGAAAAATTGTACATTGTAGTTAGAGGATTTGAGAAACTGTATGATGAATCTCTGCATGAGTTGCTGCCGCAGCCAGAAATCACAACAGCAACCAAACCCACATCTCAAAAAAGAAAACTGCTCACTTCCTCCACTCTTTTCAGCTTGTCTTACAGCCTCTCTGATTATCTGCAAGCAAAAGCCTGGATGTCCTCCAGTGTTCTGCACCAGCTGGAGCGCAGTGTTACAAAATAAAACTGAAAAAGCCATTGGAACTTCAGGGGCTGCTTGGGAACATCAGCCCAACCCCTCCACTTTGGTTTTATGGCTAAGAACCTGTGCTTAAACCTGAGAGACTTTCATCTAACCTTTCTCCTTCCCTAAAGGGCAGTATGTTCTTGCTATCTAAGCCATTCTCTTAGCAGTCAGGTTTTTCAGCTCTTTACAATGCAAGCGCATCGCAACTGGACAAACTTGAAGAGAAACATAAAACCGATTGTCCTGTCTCCATCAGCATCACTTGGTAATTCAGCCCATCCTCTCCAGGCTTCGTAGGCAAATGGGATTTCCTCACTTTAAATCCACCCAGTACCTCCACGCAGGTCACTCGCTGTGCCTAGGAGGAACCTAATGACCAGGGCTTTCCTATAAGCTAGGCAATAAGTGCAGTTATAGTATGGAGGCATCAGCCCCTGTGCTGTTCAAGAGGCTGTCGTGGCCCCATTGCCGCAAGCTCCTCGCATACAACCTGCATGGGCTTCCAAAACCTGCCTGCTGGACTCACCTGTACGAGGAGGACAACAGCAAAGCACCACATGGAGCAGCAAGAGCCCCAGCTCTGATCACAAACTGCCCCACACTTCTGCTCTGAATATATTTCCCAGAGGAGAGGAGGGATTTCAGCTTTCTGTTGAAAAAGAATCGAACGTGGCTGAGTTACTGTCTCCAAAGGTTGCACCTCTCATACTCCGGTTCACTGTCCAGCACTGAATCTCCTCACTGCTGCTTCTGCAGACACAAACCCAGCCAAATGGCCACTGCAGTCTCAGGAATCGCCAGTTTCCATTTTTCATACACTACATGTTGACCATGTTAGGTCAGACGTGCGTTTTAGGCAGAGAAGCAGCATTTCATTACAGCTTAGACAACATCCAGAGCATTGAGCCACAGAAATTATTAATAATAATAAAAACAAAAGCAATTCAGTATAAGCTACCTATTCTGTACCCACCTAGAGAAACTTTAGGCCACATTTGGATTCTGTATTCACCCGTTTGCATCCCCAAAATATCTCAAGATTAGGGATTTTTGCTGTATTGACTAAAATAAATCTCATTTTGAAGGGGAAGGCCATAAAAATATAATTATGATGCAAATCTAGGGCCATAATGTTTTGAGGAGCTACGTTTATTTCACTCCCAGTGACATTAATATTGCAAATATACCCCCCTCAGCCCTTCCTTTTGCTCAGATGGCTCCCCTGAGGCTGGCACGATGTGATGTGCAGCTCACACCGCAGCCTCCCACATCAGCTTTCCCCTCCATTCCCATCCTGGAATTACTCTCCTCAAACCACCCACCACCAAACACTCCTCTCTCCATGCTCTGCATTTTCAGTTGCCCGATGGCCCCAAATTCAAGCAACATCAGGAGCCACGTGCACTATTGTGGCTACCAGCTCTGTAACAGTATGGAGAACCTTCATGCCTTATTTATTTATAATGGAAAGCAGTTGTATAAAAAATAAAAAATAAATAAAAACGAACAACAGCAACAACAGCAGTGTCGAGCTGATTTTCTCAGAGCTTTTACCACGGCAGCTGCTGTCAGGCACAAACATCAACACCCTGCGCTCAAACAGCCCAAGCAATGTTGTTTTAAGCCATCCCCTGTTTGCTCTGCAGTCATCATTGCATCCGTGTGGGAAGAGGATCACCTTCACTTTCTGTTTTAAACACTAGCATGTGAATCAACGTCACAGCTAAGTGCGCATCAGATTTTAAATATATTTTAAAATGCTTTTTTCTTTTTGTAAATAAAAGAAACGGCAGTACTCATAAAGCTGAGGCTTTTTTTTACAGCACTTTTTACTTCTGGGTACAGCAAGAGAGTTATGTCTGTGATTTTCATGTACAATTTGGGTCAAGAAAATGCTTCGGGCTCCCTTGTAGAAAGCACAGAGAACATAGCAAGCTATATTGCTACAATATTTATATAACATTCATTTTATATATTTGGACTACTAATATTTGCCAAATGAAAAAAAAAAGTTCTTTTGTCAGCTCTGAAGCCTCTATAAAACTGCACAATTTCTAAGCTGGCAATTTAAATGCTATTTTTGTTTTGGCTTTTCTTGAAAGCCATATATCAGAAAATGACTGATGGAAGTAGCAGTGTTTGGTTTAACAAAGGAACAGCTGCAAGATATCAGCAGTTTGTTCAGCAAAATGCTGAGGGCGTTTTTTTCTGCATCCAAAAATATTAGTGGCCATACAAATATGGTCCCAATGACTGTGTGATTCATAGCCCCTTGATTTTTCTTAGTCAAGACTTCAGTGACTAAAGCAGGAGAAAATAAACATCTTCTGCCCTTTTACCCCACCTTCTATCTGATTTTTTTAATGTGCTTTGAAAATACCAAGTAAAACTGCATAACTCCACTTAGAGGTAAAAAGAGAGTATTAAATAGCAACTCTGCTTACCACACAAACTGGTCTAATAGAAAGCAACACCTGTTTAATAGCATACACCAATGACTCCAGATAGAAAGAGAATATTATTGAATGAAAATGAAATGGATGAGGAAAAAAACACCCTAGGAAACAATGCCTAATTCCAGGAATTTGAAAACAACATCCCTCTTCAGATGGATGATGCCATTGGGGTTGACAACAGATACAGCTTGTCAAGAATTCAGCTTTATGCTGAATTTGAAGTTTGGGGATATTTACCCACGTGCTTTTCCACCAGCTCTAATCTAGCATCTTACTTCAATACCAATACTTAGTTAAATGCCCCTTCAGAAGAGCACCCATGATGAGGAATATGGTTGGACCACTTGAACGATGGGCTTTGCAGAGCATGAAATCTCCCAGGAAGGAGAGATCCATTTACTGACCCAGCACAGTACAGGAGCAAGGACCTCCCAGCAAGTTGCTCAAGGTCCAGACTTGCTCCTGCCTTCTGCCCTTACTCAAAGGGTACTGAGACACATCAGCCTTTGCACCAGGTTTTAGGGACATCTTGCAAGTCCTTTGCTCCCCGGTGGCTAACATCAGCAAATGGGGTGAGCTCGCTTTCTAAGCCAGCATCAATATTGGGACAGCTCATTCCTCATCTCCAAAAGCTTGGCTCTTTTTCGGCCACATGGAAGGAAGCCCTCGCCGTGCCAAGCCCTGCCTTGCCAGGGAAGGCTCCACTTTCAGCAAGGTCCAAGCAGCAATCATTTCACTTCGTACAAATGCTCTTTTGCAGCCTATGCAGGCAATGAATCAAAGCCAGCCACATCCTTTCTCATGGGCCTGACTTCAGGTCTGGTACCTCCAAGCTGCTCTCCTGGCCTCTTGGCATGCTGCAAAATGGCACCTTTCTTGGCACGTGCTACCAGCACAAGGACAAACCTGACACGTTTAACAGCAGTTGGCAAAATGAGTCATCTCACTTTGGATATCGTACCCATCCCTCTGGCTACGGATCACAACCACTTACCTGCTCACCAATGGAAATTGAGGTCACCAGATGGCCTGACTTGCCTCTGACAATTGTAGCTTCTCTCCTAAAGCATTGAGGTTTCTGCTGAGCTTGGGTAGGGCAACATAAAGCAGAAGCAGCCCAGGATACTCTCTTCCTAAAAGCCTGCAGTGCAAAACCAGAGGCCAAACTGCAGCAGAGCCCCCACACTGAGTTCCTGGGCTCATGACCCCATCCAAAACTCCCATTTTGTCTCCACCAGCTTTAAATGAGAGCTCGTCAGCTCCCGCCAATCCCTGAGTTAAGGAGAGCCACAGGCTGCTTCCACAGGCCCTGCTCCCTGCCTTTCCTAGGGATAGAAATATCAATTCCCACTTGAATGGGAACAAAGAAGCCTGTGTCTTTACAAATAAGGGAGTTACTCCAGTCTTTGGCAAGCCGGATAAGGGAGCAGAAGCAGGGAGGCTGTGCTGTGTGTAAGCAATTGGGTGCAGCTGACCTCGGGGGAGAACAGGAGCATGGCAGAGAGCTCCTTATCAACAAATGACTCCAGAATGAACCCTAGTAGAGTAGGTGCAAGTGTGATGAGCTAACGAATATCAAGTTTTCCACCAAAGGGAGGCATAAAATTGCTTTAATTTGAATTATTATTAAATTAGATGAGATGTACGACAGGGAGCAGGCACATATTGAGGAGCAACATATGTCAGGCAGGCCAGGAAGTCTGCAGCTTCTGAGTACCTGGGCCAGTGGGGAAGAGGAGAGAGCTACCTCAGTTGGGAATCTGGGATAAAAGGAGGCTGTGCCCCCCAGCAACTGGAACAACCCCACAGGGGAATGCCCCACTGGACTCTCGTTTCATTCAAATAAAGTTTGAGGAATCCTTTCTCTCCTTTGCGGACATGCGGTTCTTGACACCAAGATTTTCCGCACAGAGCTGAAGGAACAAGGATAAGATCCTTAGCCCTGACAGGGCCCGCGGACATGGGAAGAGCAGCACCAGCCCTTAGAAAACAAGCAGAAAGCAGCGCTGCTGAGCAGAGAGGAGCCCGAAAGGGCCGAGGGAGCCCTCGGAGCAGGGACTGCTCGCCAGGCGGGATCTCTGCAGCGCGCCCGGGTGCTGCGCGGGGGCCTGGGCCGGCC